AGTGTCCATGGGACCTGAGTGCCCTTGACATTGTCACCTGTCTGCAGCAACGTCTGTCTGTCTATGCCTGCTGCTCCCACTGCTGTCCTATGCCCAGGCCCCTGAAATCGCAGGACCCGTGGGGGCCAGAGCATGGCCCTGGGACAGTGTGCGGGGGGGCCCTGGGTTCCAGGGTTCGTGCTCTTCTGTGTAAGACCGAGTGGTTGGGGGAGGAGGACGCTGCCCACTCAGATCGCAGCCCGAGCCCTGACCGTCCAGCCTCGGCTTCCCTGAAGATGCTGGGAAGGATTACACTGGGAGGGAGGCGGGGCAGCTGGGAGCGGAGGGGCGATTTGTTTGCAACCTGTGAGATCCAGGCAGGGGCGTCCATGGGATGGGCTCTGATGCTGAAATACAGTGAACCCTCGTTTATCGCGGTTAATCGGTTCTAGACCCTACCGTGATAAATGAAATTCCACGAAGTAGGATCCCTTATTTGTAAATCAAATATTTTCGTAGTTAGAGCATAGAGGACATGAAAAAACACCCTTTAGTCACCATTACACTCATATTACCCAATTTATTAAACGAAAAAGGGAAAATACAGTAAAACATTTTGGACGTTACAATTATCATTTATTATTTATTATATTATTTATGGCATCTAGTTTACAGTATTACATATTTCACATACAGTATTATTATACATAGTTCTTACAAATACTGTAATCAATAGCCTATGAAATGACTTAAGGGATGTACTCTACAGGTGGGTCGCCATCTTTTTCCTCTGAAGGAGCGGGTGTAGGCACTGGGTGCTGTTACGCAAAAACCGCGATAGAGTGAAGCCGCGGAAGTTGAAGCGCGAAGTGGCGAGGGTTCACTGTATATCCCCCTGGTGCCAGCCCCCAGCCCCAAGGCACCCATCAGAACGGGTCAGGTTAAGCTGCAGTAACAAGACAGCCCCTACAGTGAGCTTAATGGCCGAAATCAGCAAAGTCTCTGTTTGCACACAGTGGTCATGCAGAGCACTGCCGGTGGCCAAGCCCAAGGTTAAGAGTTCTAGAGGGTTCCACGCTCCTCCGCCCCAAACCCCGTGGCCATCACTAAACACCCAGCCCTCACAAGTTGGTCGGGCACCAGAGAAGGCCTGCAGGCTCCTGGTCTAGTGTCAGCTCTACATCTTTGTCAGAATGCCCCTTTGCCAGACTAAGAACACGGCACGGCCCAGGCCATCGGTAGACCATGGCTGGCTCAAAGCAGAGCTGGGATTTAAACTCGGGTCTGGCTCCGGCACCTTCTCTTTAGCAAAAACCAGACCAAACTCAACTGTCATCAAGTTGATCCCGACTCCTAGGGGCTCTATAGGACAGGGTGGAACTGCCCCTGTGAGTTTCCAAGACTGTAACTCTTTATGGGCGCTCAGTGTGACTGGTGGTTTCAAACTGCCGACCCTGTGGTCAGCAGCCCAACTCGTAACCACTGCACCACGAGGCCTCCTTCCCTTTATTTAGCAAGTGGGCTGTAACTCCTCCTGAGGCCGTGGGTTTCTGATGGAAGACCCTGGACTCACAAAGACCTGGGTTGGGACCCAGTCTGGCGGCTCTGCTTCAGTCACCTGGTGTCCAATGATGGGCACCAGTCCCTCCCTCTGAGGGTCTTTGTGAAGCAGTGAGTTGCTGAGTCGGGGGCTCAGAGCAGGTGCTACAGGCCAACCCGGGGCGGCAGGACGCCAGTGTTGGTCCTGGGCATTGCCCCTCGGGGGCCGGCAGGAGCCCTCTTTTGGCATCTGTCTTATGGGTCCCCCTCTAGAATTATTTCCGTGATGCCTGGAACATCTTCGACTTTGTGACTGTTCTGGGCAGCATCACCGACATCCTTGTGACGGAGTTTGGGGTAAGTGTCCTGCTGGCTTCTCTCTGGGGGCTGGGCTGGGTTCAGGAGGTCCCAACAATGTAGCCCTAGCCACAGAGGGAGTGTGGGGGTGCCAGGGATCGTGTGGAGCTGAGGGAGGCAGGGGGGAAGCTGCGTGGCCCTGGGGTATGGCTGACTACTGAACTCAGTGGGTCCCTGGATGAACCAACCCAACAAATAAATTCTGCTTAAATTCGACCTTCCTGGCTTGTAGACAGGAGGGCAATATGGCTCTCAGGCCGTGGGGGAACACCACCCCCAGAGCCTACAGAAGGTGTCCAGGGCCTTGCCCCTCTCTAGCCCCAGGGGAATTCCCGGGGACTTAGGGGCTTCGGGACCTCTGGCGGAGAACCCTCCAGGCCACATCCCCTTCCCCGGGGTCTGGCAAACCGCCCCAGTGCTCGTCCCAGACCCTCTCCATGGCTTTTCACCGGTGAACCTTGGGATCTTGGGGACGGGTGGCACAGGGGCACAAAAGGACAAAGAGGTTGGAAGCCAAGGGCTGGCCATGGGAGCAACCAGGACCTAAGAGCAAACTGAATCAGCACTGATGAGGGGTGGGTGCCAGGCACAAGCCAAGCACTTTGCGTAGTTTAGCTCATGGTCAGGGTCTGTGCACCTTCAGAGCGTCCGACGAGAGGGAACAGAGCAGGAGGTGGAGGTGAGGGGAAGGCAGGGATGACAAGGAGCCCCAGGAAGCTGGCCTCTGCCCTGGGTCTGAGCTAGGTTCCTCCCGCCCTCTGTCTCCTGTCCAGGGCCTTAGGGACATCAGGCCCACCGAAAGCTATCTCCATAGGGCCAGCCCCACTTGCCACTCTCCGGTGGAAGAACCTGAGTGTCTAGAAAAGCCTAGAAATCCGATTGGTGCCCACCAAAAAACGCTCCACCTAGCTGAACAGAAGCCTCTCAACTTAAAGTCCCTCTGGGTGAAGATGGGAAGGAGGGAGAAGGAGAGAGGTTGTTGAAGCTTCCTGTTCCCCAGGACAACCAGTATGAAATCCTGGGCTTGACCCCAGTGGCCACATGAGCCATTCTCCTGGGGCCACAGCACCACACCACCACCAGCCGCCTGGCATCTTCCCTGGCATCTTCCCATGGCATGTAAAGTGGGGCCAGTCAGTGTAGCCAGCCTCACAGGGTCCTTGCAAAACTCACACTCATGTTATGTGTTCACCCACGGAGTGGGCCCGGCCTGCCCTGGCGGCAGAGCCACGGAGCAGACACTCAGGGTCACCTGCCCCTATAAAGGTGGTGCCCCTGTGGGGGAGGCTGCAAGACCCAACACCAGTGAGCGACCGACGCAAAGCGCTTGGCACAGAGCCTGCTGGGAGATAGAGAATGTTGCAAACTGCAGTGGTTATGGTGATGATTATTGATCGCTATTGCTATCACCCCCATGAATGTCTTCATTTGGTTTGGGTCCACTGGCCATCCCTGCCTCCGAAATATATTCACATGTTCATATATGTTGGGGGGAAACTAGAGGGTGGGTGTTAACTCCTGACCCGGTGTGAAGGGAGGCTGCTCGTCATGGCAAGGCACACGGTCCACCCCTTTGTTGCCTCTCAGGTAAGCCCACTGGGTCTGGAGCAGGGGAAGAGAGCTAGACTGCTGGATGGGACTGGCAAGTTCCCAGGGCTATGAATAGAGAGCACGTGGGAGTGACCCCACTGCTACCTGGGGCGGGGTGGGGGGGCCCACTGGGCCTCAGCTGCTGCCCCCAGTGGCCAGGGGACGTGGGGCCACCCTGTGTGCAATGGATAATGACTGTGTTTCTTGTCTTGTCTCTTTTCATGCCTGCTCTTTAAACTGTATATTGGCACAACGCCGTCTGAAAAACTCATCCAATCAAAATGCACTATGAAACTCATTTGTTCATCCATGACGTGGTCTGTGTGTTCATACACCAATGACTATCTCCCAACCCGCCACCCCCACTCCCCGCCCGGGAACCGAAACCCATGGGTTTTTTGGCACTGGTTACAAATCAACCTAAAAAAACGCTGAACACGCCTCCCCAACTGCCCCCGCCCGCCCGCTCCCCATCCATCTTCAACATCTGCATCTAGAATCCGGTTGGTTTTACTTCTTTCTGAAGTCTAAATGCCTTACATTAACTGTGGGAGCATCTTCTCGCATCAGCCTTGCACGTCCACGCCCTGGGCTTTCTAAGTGAATGCCTTGATGTGCCCCTCCCCCTCTGTCCGTGGCCTCTCCCACCCCCTCCCTTCCGCCGTCCCACCCCCACCCCCAGCCTCAATCTCTCTGATGGGTCTGAACGTGGGTTGGTTCTGTTTGCGTTGCTGTGGTCTTTGCCAAGAAAGGCGAGAGAGTTCTCTGTGCATTACCACCAACAGAGCAGCAGTCCTGTCCCTAAAGGTCGGATACCCCCAGCTACTCTCGCTACTTCAGCCTCAGGTGAGCCAGGGACCGGGCCTGTACACACACACACACACACACACACACACACACACACACGCACAACACCCGTATCTTCACTCCCTTTCCTGTCTCCCTCTCTCTCTCCAGCACATGCATACTCTCACAAGCACGCTACACACACTTCCACACACGCACACTCTCACACAGATACACTCTTGCATTCACACTTTTTTACACATGCATAGGGACACATTCACACACTCCTACACACATGCTCACAGGCACACACTCACATTCTCATGCATTGGCTTACTCACACACATGCACACTCACACCCATGCGTATACACACTTTTAAACTGGCAGAGCTGTGCGTGTGCACACTCACATGTGCACACTCTTGGATTCGTATCGCAGATGTATGTATTCAGACTCATGTACACACATGCCCTCATGCACATGTACACACACACACTCACACACACCAGACCCTCCTCTGTGACACCCATCCAGCCTGTCCATCTGTACCCCCAGCCACTCTCTCCAACCCCCCCTTCCCCAGTTTCTAGGCTCCCTGCCCCCTTGGACACCCCTCACTCCCTCAAGTCCCACCTGAGTCTGCACACACGCACCACCCAGCCCACTCAGCAGCTTCTTAGAAGAACCCTGCATGTCACTTCTGCCCTGGGGATCCCACCCCTTCCTGGCTGTGCACTTGGACTCAGTCCCATGTCATGAGCCCCAGTCGCCCCCCACCTACAGCCAGGAGGGGGAGGCAAGCACTGTTGTAACTGAGCTGCACGCTAAGCGGTGAGTGGAGTCTCCGAGACAGAGAGGGGAGCTGTGGGCACCCCAGGCCATGCCACCACCATGCAGACTGGGCAGGACCTGAAGTGCAGAGAGGTGGGCAAGTCCACTGAAATGTGGGCTCTGCCCTGAACCCCGAGGCTGTGGGGGACGTGGAGCCAGGCAGAGGCAGCAGCAAGTAGACCAGACAAGACCCGGGTGGTGGCAAGGCAGGGAGCACTCAACAGGTACCTGGGGGGGAGGGGGGAAGGTCTGCAGGAATCCCTGTGAAAGATGGGAGTTGGGGGTTGT